TAGGCCAGATTTGGTTTTTTGGAAGTGGAAAGAGTCATCTTTGCAGGAGCAGGAGAGCTCATGGGAGCCATTCAATGATCTGGCACTTCCTGGTAGGCAAGAATGGACTCACTTCCTTCCCTGCCACCATGAAATCATCCTTCAAGTGACTGCACACAGTGGCAGAGGAGGTGTATTCAATGCCCAGGGAGCTGCACTAGTGCTCACAAATGCTGGACTGGAAAGCCCAGCCCTGCAATCCAGCTGAGCCTCCCCAGCTCACCACTGTGCTCTACCTGTTCATAGCCTTGCTCAGATAAAGATCTGCTGGACTTGCAGAGCTTTATTTGGAGACAAGGGGGAAAGGCAAGGGGAAAAGAACTTTTGTGGTTACCAAAACAAGATTCAAACCAAAAGGCAACCCACTGCAAAGTTTGTCACTCACTGCTCCCAAGCCATTAAGCAGCCCTGACTCAGGGCTCTCCCAAGTACCTCTGACAACAGATTTTTACACATTTCTGAAGGCCCCAGTTCTGGCCTTAAAACCCCCAGTGCCACCCCAGCAGCACCAGCCCCACAGTAGCAGGCACAAAGCCAGCAGATCAGCTATCACCAACCTCACCCCACACCAGATGCCTCCTCAGTCTGCCCCACAGGGTGAGGCCCCATTTTCTGGAACTAAGGCAAAGATGGAATTTGCTTCATCTGCAAGCTATAAATCCTTTCTATCTTCCTGAGCCCAGCATAGATGGGAACAGCTGTGTGGCAGTGTTTCCCTAAGGCTCCAGCTCTGCTGAAGATGCTGAAGTACCAATTTAAGTCTAAAAGCTTGAGAGCAAGAGAGAAGTGGCAGGAAAAGAAGGAGGGGCAACCACAGAAAGGTTTGGATTGGAAAGACCTTGAATAATAATACAATCCAAAGTCCCTACCATCGGCTGGGATATCTTTCACTAAAGCGGGTTGCTCAAAGCCCTGTCCAACCTGACCCTGAACACTTTAAATGATGGAACATCCAGTGTTTTTAAATGAAACAAAATTAATATCAACTCCTCAGAAAGGAGATCTTAGTTTCTTTAAGAGATTTTTCGTGTCGGACAAAACCCATTGTGCACACTGCTAGACAGGGTCTGCTGAGGAAAAAAAGGGGGGGCAGGCAATACCAAACATGTGAGCATGGAGAAAGAAGTGAAATATGTAAGGAGGAGATTGTGAGGACCCATGGCTGGTTGATGCCTCATCTATCTCAGGACTCATCTTCTCCCAGCATGAAGAGAACATGCTCTCAAACTTCAAACACATCAAGCTCTCCCCAAAGATCACCCCTGACCCCAGCTAACCTCTTAGACCTACTGCTCAGATGTCTGGACACCTGATTTTGATTTCCAGCCTAATTCCTCAGCAGCTACGCTTCCTGCCAACACACAATTGTTCATCTTCTAGATAAGCCTCTTCCCCAAGCTTGAATGGCTCTCCTTTCCTCTCTCAGGGTTAATACAGAATTCTGTAAGATGATGAGCACCAGCACTTCCCAGGAACTGTGGCGCTCACACCTCCCAGGATCCAGCAAGGTTAATCCCCTGCAAACTGTCACAGCAGGGAATGGCAGCACTAAATCCTCCAGAAAGCCAGCCCAGACCTCAGCAGGTGTTGGTGGGACCTACACAAACAGGCTGTGCCTGCCTCTTGGGCTGCCTGCACAGCAGAGACCTGTACAGAATGCTAAGCAGGGCTCGGGTCTTATTGATGATGATTACAATTATGATCATTACTTCTACCACTACTGCAGTCATACCCAGGGGCCCCCAAGCAGGTCCCTGCAAGAGCAAGACATGCTCTCTGCTTTGATGAGTGGATAAATCGGATCTGAAACAAGCTGCAGCAACTCAGCTTGGCAAACAGCGAGAAGGGGGGCTGGCAGCACAGGAAAATTGCTACTTCTGTGGTCTAAACACATGCCTTGAGTGTTTCAAATCACAGTAAAATGCTCCTGGTTTATAAGCTGTTGGCTGTTGCCATTTCACTTTTTTTCAGCCATGTAGCCATTTCTAACTTCTGTTAAGGTTCCATTAAGCAGCTTTTAATCAGCACCTTCTGGCTGAGTTTTGTGCAGGTGTCAGGAAATAAAAAATAAAACTGAAGTCAAGGTGAGACTAAGGAAATGCTTTGGTAGGAGAGGGGAGGGAGAGGAGGGTACACACAGCAGCTGCTCCACAGTCTGTCACTCCAGTGTCTTTCCCCTCTGCTTTCAATAACCATGAATGTGATCAGCTGGACAGACCCTCTACACACAAGCAACACACCTACAAAATAATAATGAGAGCCACAAGGCCAGAGGATGCACATTCTTAAACATTAAAAGCAATAAGCTGAAGAAATTACCAGGATCAGAATTTGCCAGTGTCCCAGAGAGATTCCAGATACTACAAAGGCTGCAGGGAGCCAAATCCAGTGACACTGCTGGGGCAGCCAAGGCTGTGAAGAGCACAGCCACTTCTTGACCAGTAACAGCCCCAGGACAGCCCTTCCCCAGAGCAGTGCTGCTGCTCCCACTCATCTCCAGAAGAAGGATGCATGGGAAACCCATGTGCCTCCAGATACTCAGCTTTGGCAGGGTAGGAGAGATGAAAACACTCTGGGGTTTGAGGGGATGTTGCCACTTCCCTATCTACAGACTCACAGCTAACCAGGTGGGAAAGACCTGCATCCAACAGGGGACAAATTGAGGCAGAATGGCAGTGCCCCTATGAGCAGGGAACCAGTGGGGCCTGGAGCCATCTCCCAGTCTGAATTATTGCTGCAGAAATCAGGGAAGTCAGTGAAAAAGCAATTAGGGAACTTGGAAGAGAGAAGGGAGCCATAGAAAGTGAATGAAGGGCATTGGGCTATTTCTCACTGCCCTTCCAGCCCACTCCTGCCAGATCCCAGAAGCCTCATGTTCTCAGGGTTATGTAGGGGTGGGGAATGGCTTTGCACAGGCTGCTGACAGTGACCAGCAGCGTGTCACCTTCTGCAAGTGGATTAGCTAAAGCTGCAGGCACGTTGTCACAACACTAAGCCTACCTGTGACCGGGTCTTGGCCAACCCTTAGCTCTTTCCAGACCTGTCAGATAATGATGGGATCTCTAAAAGCCCAGATCAGACAAGGCAAGGGACTGGCACTGACAAGCCCTGGGAGCTCCTGACTGTCTCCTGGTTTCCAGCAGACCCAGCAATGCCTGACTGCTTGCAGGACCAAGTACTCTGGGTTGCACAAGCAATAATTGAGTGTCTTGTCTCCCCTTCTCAGAGCCTACAGTGCCTGCTCTGCTCAAGCCTCCTTCCCCAAATGGCAAGAAACACAGAATTTTTTTAGGTGGTGATAATGTTCTCGAGTCACATACAATCAAACCTACAATCACTAAAACACTGACAATTAAGACATACTGACCTTTTTCACACAAAAAATATTGACTGATCAAGAAGAGATTTCCTAGGGAAAAAAGGGTCATTTTCCATTATTATTTTTAATTGCAAGAGAATTAGAAAAATAAGAATTTCCATTTGACTTGAAGGTGACATTTTCTTTGCATTTCAGAAATGGATTAATTTTTACTTTTTAAATTCCAAATGTCTTTCTCTTTCTATTTCTCACTATGTTTTGTTACTGAAGGCAGCAGAACAGGTGCATATGACTTTGCCTCTCCCCCTCCAACACATTTTCTTTTTTCGTTCTGAATTCTCCGAAGTTAGAGCAGCAGATGAAAAATATCCAAAACACTCATCAGGCTTTTCCAACTTTCCTATAAAATGTCCTTAACTTTAGAAAATCACTCAAGTGTAAGATTTAATATGCTCTTTTGTTTTTCTTTCTCTTTTCTACTACTCTGTAGTCTTCCTGAAAATGCATACGCTTTCAAAAGATTGAGCAGAAAGAGGAAAAAATATACAGGTGATATTTATCTCATTGTACTCAACATAAAAGAGAAAAAAGTGGTGAAGGAACAATGTAGAGCATCCAAAACCAAATACAAAAGGTGGTTTGGCAATTTTCTTGAATACAACTGAGCTTTTCTTTGGAGAAAGATTGGAGAGGAGGAGGGGAAGAACTTCCCCCCCATTTCTGCCTACAATAAATCACCAGGAATAGAAATGTCATGCACTGTCAAAACAGCTACCACTCTATCCTGAAATCCTTGGCCTTCACTTGTTTCTGCTGCAGGTCCATCACAAACTCCCCATTGTCAGCCAGGGGCATCCCAGGTGCTCCAACTTGCAGATTTCCAGTTGAAAGTTCCAGAGGTGCTCCCAGCCATGCACTCCTGCTCCTGTGAACTCCCTCCCTCCATGTGTCCACAAGCCAGAAACCCAAATCCCATGCTTGCTGCTCAATTATATCAAGAGAAGAGGACTTTCACAGCAAGAAGTAGAGGAAGGCTGACACACAGTGACTAGCAGGCATTTGTTTTGCTGACATAACAGCTCCACAGGCCATTGCAATGGTCATGTAAATACCCTCCCAATTATTTTATATTCAAGAGTGTTCCACAAGAGATGGAAAGAATAAAAGTGAAACAATCCAGCCAGCAGACTGGAGAGAAAACACTTCTGGCCAAATTTATGCCCTACCACCAATTATATTCGCACAGATCAATCCCTTGTTTGTAAAGCATTCCCACTGTGCTGGGGTGAAAGAACCAGTACTGAAAAGGGCTGCTTGAGCCCAAGCTCCTCGAATCATTACATGCCAGCAGGGACCAAACAAGCAAAACCCTTTGAAAAGTAGCAGTCTTGGACATAGGACATCTGCTTTCAATTAAAACTGAGAAAGATCTGTCCTTGTGTCATCTCCCAGCCCTACACCTCTCAGGAGGGTAGCTAGTCAGAGCAAGGGGAAGAGATTCCTTCACATTCTTCTCAATTTGAATGACCTGAAAAAGGAAGGCTCCCTCAAACTCACCAATGAAGAGCAAATCAAGCTGTGTTAGCAGTCAGTTCCCCTGAACTAGGCAGTTGTGGCTCCTTCCTAAAGAATAAATACTCACCATCACCTCCTGGTTGCTTGTATGGGTTGTACTTTGGTTTGGGGGCAACCACAGGTGCAAACTTCTTTGGGGTCTGCTGGGTGGACACAGAGATGCTGGGAGTCCCAAAGGTGTGTGTGGTCTCCATCCTTGCAGTAATGTGACCAAGAGGCTCGTTGGTACTCTTGGGTGGCAGCCAGGACGGGTGGGACATGGTTCAGCTCTAAGAGGAGACAAAAAAACAGTCACACATACATTAGGAATTTAGCCTAGGAAAGTAACAGCTGCAATCCTACTATTTTTCTGGTTTATCAAACCTACAAAACCCTTCAAAACATGTTTAGTTGGCACTTGTTTAACTTTAAATATGTTGTTCCTAAGGTATAGGACTTTAGATGCAAATTTGTCTTTCTCTCCCCAGCAGGTCAGAATTACTGATCAGGTTATTATTGTTGGTACCTGCAAAAATCACTGCTATTTTCCTCTTCAAACCAGAGCACAGACAGGTTGATACCCTGAAGCAGCCCATCAATCCCACCCTACATTCAGCACAGTAGTGATATATTTGCCTTACCCTGTTAGTCCTGTTTGGGTACATTAATGTACAACAGTGCAGCTGCTCTGGGGACACATATAGTCACAGATAGGCACACACACTTCCAAAATACACTTTTAGCACTTTTTCACATGTCATTTAGGACCCCATGCCCCAGTGATTTTCATTCAGACTTTTAAGAAAACAGATTTCAAAAGTAGCTAATCATTCTTGATGCCTCCATTTCTGAATGCCCAGCTTAAGACATTTTAAAAGCATGTCAATTTTGAATAAATGCCAGAATCTCACAACCCCTGACAACCAGGCTCCTTTTAGACTTGTGTAACAAAAAACAGAGGCAGCCCAAATCATTACTTATTTATGAAAATCTTGGCTTTGGCCTCTTAAAAGCCTACATCACTTTTGAGAACTGGGTTCAGATGCTGCTGAAAATGTTGCCCATAAAAATCCTGTTAATTCCAATGAACAAGTGCTTTTCACCACACACAAACCACACTTGCTTGGTAGCCACGATAGCCCTACTGTACCATCAGATGGTCCTATGGAGCTGGGTTTGAGATTTGATGGAGAAATGAAGATCCCACACAGACAGAAGCCAATGCTAAGTTTGAAGCCCTTGAGCACCCTGTCGCTTCTGCCCATGCACTGCTTTGGTGTCAGAAGCCCTTAAGGCTACCAAAACCAGCAGGCAAGTGTGACCCAATCAGGAAAGATTTCATTTCATCATGGAGAAGGAACAGTGCAAGAGACAGGATCAAGGTCTCCACTTGGTAATGCAGGGTCAGTACCTTCAGCAATGACTCAAAACTGATGGATATACAGGTGTCCTTATTCCAACCTGTAAATTTACTTCAGAAAACAGTTTCCTACTTGAGGAGTAATTTCTACTTTAAGCCCCAATGTCTGACCTAACACTGGGAGGTAGACAAGTTTTGATTATCTTCCACCTGCATCACTCCTTGTGTGAGAGAGGAACTGGCAAGTTCCAAACATCAGTTCCAACACTTCTGTCTCATCCTGGCCATGCAGTCTGACTGTTTGATGTGCAGACAGTGGTTTCACAATTCCCACCAGGAATAGGAATTGAGCCTGATGCACTAGGAATCCAATACCAATGAAAGGAAGACACTGGAGCTGGCTAGAAATGAGGCAGACAGGAGCATGGCAGGAGCAGCCCAGAGATGTATCCAAGGCTGAGCTGCAAGGATATGACTTTCCTCCTTCACAGCCCTGCTGTCCAACCCACAGTAAGAGTGCAGAGCATCATTCTGAAAGCAAGAAGTGAAAGGCAGGTCTTCCCCACAAGGCAGGAGAGGAAACCAGTCACAACGGGTAGGAGCCGAGGGCACACAAACCATGGTCCCACCGCCTGGCACTTCCCATTACCAACACTAGCCTCTATGGATCTGGAAAATTACTCACTCCAGCAGTAAAATTCACCTGCACTGCTGTCTCCTCCTCCTACATCCTTCAAAACTTTAAAAGCAGCAATAAAACTGAGGCAACTATCTAGGTCTTAAGAGCAGAAAGCAATGAGGGCAGTCAGCCTTAAGAGCTAAACAGGACAAGCCTGCACTCTCCAGAGTTATTACATCCAAAGATGACTGTACCTTACCCATTGCTAAAAGCATCCTGGAGTTTAATTCTGACAGGTTTTCAGCCTCTGGCTTGACATCTCATATGAAAGAGCCTCCTGCTGTAGTGAAGCACCCTCAGACCCTGGACATTACCTCCATACTAATGCTAAAGAAAACCAAATCCCAGAACTGACTAGATTATCACCATTCCTGCTCTGGAATGTTTCTTAACCACCCCCAGGCAGCATGCCTTGGTCCCACTGAACTCTCATGGTCTGCTAGGCTGATGACAGGGATGGGTAGTGTGATGCACAGACCCAGAATGTCTGCTTCAGTAGCCAGGTTGCACAGCACTGAGGACGGCTGAAGACAATGCGAGGATTTCAACAAATGAGCTTAAAAAGCAGACTGCTCCTATGGACAGCTTGGGAGCAGGGAGACCACAGTGCTGTAACTCAGCTGCTGACTGTAAACTGGCACACAGCTCCCTCTCAGCTAACCTCTAACGCCTTTGTTTTGGCCATGGTGGTATTTTCTAATTGTTTCCCCATTAGCCTTTTCTCTTCCTCTTTCTCCCCATCTCATTTTCTGTTATGCATTTACTGCCACTCGTTTTTGCTATCTGTGCCCTGACAGTGTTTTCAGCAAGTTCCCTTTTCCTCATGTGTTCCAGCCCCAGTTCCCTAGCCTCAATTAAATTTAGCCTAACTACTCCACAAGATCACAGAAAAAGAAAATTAATTAATTTCTTTTTAAAAGCTGAAGCTAAACTTATGGGTTTGCTATTATTTTCCCTCCATTTTGTCAGCTAGTAAAAGGCCAAAACAAGGAAAAATGTAAGGGACAGTGGCTTGCAGACAAGCACAGACCCCCACCTCTCAGCAGACTTCTCCATGGTGGAGCACCCTGGCTAATTCAGATGGAGCCATCAGCACTCTCTCTCCACACCCTGCAATACTGCCTGGTTTTCCATCAGAAGCTTCTTTGGAGGAGAACATTTTGCCATGTGAGCAAGTAATTGAAACAGCACAGGAAAACTTGGGCCTATAACTAATTCCCTTACTCTGAACTTACTCTGACATGTCACTGCCTGAGTGTCATTGTGGTGGACTTAGGAATACCCAATCAGTAACAGCAGTGTTTTTCTGGCTAGCCAGCAATACAGCCAGCAAACACACATTTCACTTTTGAGCTATTTTCTTCCACTAAAAGTTATTTTTCACTGAAATGTTAACAATTAAATCTACAGCTGCCCCCACATTTCTGCTCCAATCAAGTAATTTGTCAGGCACTGTTTGCATTCAATGAGCCCCTTCCTGGCAAATCTGGGTAGACCCAGCCACGCAACAGTTAACACAGCAAGGTTGGAAAAACCTCTGTCAGCAGGGCCTGTGTCCCTGGGAATCCTCCCAGAGGAACAGCCACCTCTTGCTTCCCTCAGCACCACACCTCCCTCTGTCTTGGCTGAAGCCTTCTGCATGTCTGCCTGCCCGCCTCCCACAGCCATCCTTGGCCAGCCGTAACTCACAGCTTCGCTCCTCATCTGACTGCTACAAGCTTTTTCTGTGACTCCTCACTTACTGACCACTCTGGCAACACCCCCTTCTCAAATTCACTGCCTCATCCCCCCCAGAAAATCCCTTAAATCTTCTCTATGTCACTGCTTCGAAAGCCTCATTGATCATTTTGACTAACCCTGATCCATCCCCAACTACTGCTTTGCAAAGCTTCTGCTGAGCTAAAGAATATTTGCTATAAAGCACACATAGCCTCAACTGAAACAATGCAAAAGTTGAAGAACCCAACACAGCATTAGGTAAACTGTTTGGATAAAGAGTAAGCACTGTAATTACAGCTTCTCTTTTATGTCTGGCTTAAAATTTAGCTAGATCCACTTCCAACCAGTGCATTTTGTTATGCTCCTGACATCTGCATTACAGACTTGCCTCTTCCTTATGTAGATCCATTCAGAATGGAGCCAGATCAATGTTTTAATCAAACCAAAACATTTAAATTAAGTATTAATTAAACTCCTTGTAAAGGGCAGATTTCTCTTGATTCTTTTATGTATGTTAACTCTGAATTCTCTTCAATTTTCCAGCTACCTTTTCTGAAATGGTGGCTGATAGCATAAGACCATTTTTAAGAATAGTAACCTAAAATAGAAGAGGTAAAATGATGAATAATATCAAAAACAGAAACCTGACTGAAATCAGCTGTGGAGGCCTGAGGTTCTGTTATCCTTCCTTCCTTGGAAGCATTAGTCATCACCTACTTTTGGAGGCAGAGGATAAGACCAGACTAACCATGATAAATGGCATTAAGAGCAAAGAGTGAAATCACACTGTATAAATAAGGCAAACAATGTGCTCTGGTTCTATCATAAGAAAGATCTTAATGCTGTAAGTTCAGAAAATTCTAACCATGAAAGAATACACCACAGCAGAGGAACTGGAATCCACGAATCCCAAGCTGAGACCACATTATCTAAAAATGTCAGACCAGGAATATCAATAGCAGATAATACCATGCAGTAATAACAACCTGACAAGGTTTTTTTTCTAAATGTGTGGGCATAAGAGCTTGTTTTTGCTTTTAATTACAGGATGTCATTCACCTTTGAGAAGCGAAGGTAAAAAACTGAGGGTTTCAAGTCAATTTATCCTTACATCTGATAAGCAGTGGAAGGGTAGAGTAGCAATTTGTCTACTTTTGAAATTGTTAGTACATTCATCTCTGAGACAGGCTGGCTTTTCTGTGATTAGACTGTAGCCAAATAAATCTTAATTTCATTTTCATATTTGTAACATGGACCAAATACTCCTTGAATGTTGATGGACTTCGCCAAGACAGAAGATTTTTGTCCCTGAGTTAATTAAGCTAATGCTTCGTAGTGGGTAGCAACAGTATTTAACAAAAAATGAGCAACAACCGTCTGTGCTTACAGACTGTCTGCTCTGTCTTCCATCCCACGCCTTCCTAAATTCACTGGTTGATGTAGGCCTAGGATGTTCTTAGTATCACCCATGCACAGTCAACCATCACTCCTAAGGCCAAGAGATTGGCCAGATACAGGGAATTAGGACCTTA